CAATTTTTAAATTGAAAAAATTGTTTTTCACAAATAATTTTGTCAATTTAACACGTTTACTTGTTTCCCTGTTAATTTTTTTATTAGGCAGTGTTATTGTTTTCTTTTTTTGTCATTTGGTCTTTTAAAAAAGACTGTCATGCCCGTTTTATTTTTTCTTAACATTTTTCTGCAAAAGGATATTACTCAAACCAACTAACAAATAAGAACTAGTTTAAATAAGATATTATATCGAAGATATAATTTTTATATTTTTTCGGGATTTACACAATAGAAACATCAGAAATCCCGAGACATATATTTTCAAGCCAATAAAATTTTTAGTATTAGGCGATGTACTTGGAGTATCCAAAACAGATTCACTATCAAGTACATTTCAACCACCTTAAATGTCATTGTTATTGAATATATAAATTAATATATACATTACATTAAACAAACATGTTCACTTATTGTTGTAATACATTCTATAACACAGTTTGTTGTAATTCAATTTTTTAAAAAGATAATAGTTTGCTGGCTTGTCTGTTTTTCGTTTTTTTAATTCTTTGTAATACGTTCCGTTGTTTTTATCCAACTTATTGGTGTGATTGTTTTCAACCTTTTTACTAAAAATCTATCTAAAATTTAATTTGATTATTTTTGAGATGTGAACAAAAATTCGGCGTTGGTAAAAAACAATCATGAAAAATAAAACAAACTATATAGTTCTTAAGGCGACCTTCGAGATTGTCACGACCCAAGTAATCCTAAGATCTTTTGGGTCGAATTAATTATTTTTTTGAAAATCGGCATTTTACTTTCCTCTTTACCAAATAACAAAAAAATATTTTTAAAAACTTCACATTTTTTTCTGAATTTACAAATTGTTGAATTGGTTAAATAAAATCATCATTAACCTTAACAGATCGTGTTATCAATTTTCATAACAAAGTTATCTACGCAATCAAACGTTCAAATAAACAAAAAAATCAAATATACAACAGTGTTGATACTTTAATAATTCTCAAATTAAATTTCCACTTAAATAATAGTTGTTTATTACATTGATTTTATTGTTTGTAAATAATAACTTTGGTGAAATAATTTTGATATTCATAAAACAAAAATAAACGATTATCATCAATTTCATTGTGTAACTTCGTCGATGTACACAATTTTCATTCAACAACTTTTGTTGATAATAACATGTAAGAGAATTGTTATATACGATTATTCTTTTATAACTATCGTTTTCTTGTTATTCATGTAAAAAGACATAATTAAACATATATACCTTTGTAACACCACAACAACAATTATTATTAAATATAATAGAAACATGTATTGATTATTAATTTCAATAATTTAATAACAACAAATGATATATCAAGTTTCACTATTAATCACTACATTTTTATTTTTATAAAATGACAAAAATAAAATGTGATAAATTTTAGTGTGTAAAATTGTAACATCAAAACTGAACTTAAAATCATTACACTAAAATTACTGGAATAACACAGTTTAAAACATTTTTGTTTTTAATTTGTTACTCTCTCACATGGGGCCTACATTGACCACCACCACCACCTCTTAAAATAGATTTATTTTTTCTATTTCGAATCATATTCAAATTAAAATTATAGTAAATAGGAAACTGGGATAATATTAGGTCTGGTTCCCGAATTCAAAAAATGCCGAAAATTCACCTTGATTCAGTGGAAACCGAGTGAGACGGAGCATTGAAAAGAAGGCTCATAAAGACGCACTCAAACAGTCTGTTTGTGCACCGTTTCACCCACTTTCCAAGTCCTCCCTTGGCGCGGATCCCCCTGACCCCCCCCCCGCAAGCGGGGCGAACCACATCCGCGTCCACACAGTACGGACAAGGAAAGTGGGTGACATGGGGACGCACAAACAGTGGCTGAAAAGTGGACTTCCTTCAAAAAACACTCGCGGCAAATATTTTTTTTGGTAAAGGTGGTGGTGGTGGTCAATGTAGGTCCCCTCTCTCACATATATACATAAAACATAAAAATAATCATTTTATCATCAAAAAGCAAAAGCAGACGATACAAAAATAAAAAAAAATGATTCCAGTTCTTTGTTGTGGTAAATTAAGTTAGTAGTTTAAACAAAATGAATACACTTTCATGATTATTTTACAATTCAATTTCCATACATATTTAATTATTTTAACAGTTATTTATCTAGATCATACACAAAAGTGCATTAAAACATAAATGTTTGTCTTTTTGGATTTATAAAATGATGCACATTAAATCCAAGTTATACACAAACATTTATTAACAATTCAATTGCTTTCAAATTGAATATTAATAAAATAGAATAATATTTTTAATTAAATTTATAAAATATATTTAATCTTATCAAAGAGACAACACCAATGTAATTAAAAAAACAATTTGGTTTATTATCATCATTTTTAATTTGTTCACATGTATATTTGATTATTTATCATAAACAAAATTAATAAAATTGTCAGTTATATTAACCAGTAAATATATTGTATTTAAACGTAACATGTACAAATGGGTTGTGAACAACAAGTAGTAAAAATATTTATTTACATTCTTTTTAGAATATAATATTTATGTATTTGTTTAATTTGAAATTATATGTTTACACACTCAAAAAGTTTACACATTTAATAATTTTATCCGTTTTTACAATGAGCTTATTGAGTATAAAAGTTAATCATTTTATTTTAATTATCAAAATACAATCATTAAAAGTAACTGTATTATCATGTTATTATTTCACTATTCAATAACAGTTGTGATATCATTTTTAAATTAGTGTTATTTGTGTGTGTGTAGTTAGACATAATAAATACAAAAGATAATATATATATCAAATACCATTATATACATGTTATTATCAACAGTGAGTTATTGGAAAATAATCATTTTTATGTAGTTACACAATGAAAATGGTTACACCCGTTTTAAATATAAAATTTATATTCAATTATTTAAAATATGTCAAAAAAATTGTTCTCTTTGGTTTTGTTCACAACAACAATTCCATTTAAACATGATTGTTAATTATTTATTTATTTATCATTCCATGTCTTGTCACATTGGTAACTATGTGTGTGATTATTTTAAAACTTCATTTTAAAAATGAAATACAATTGTTTAAATATGAATATTTTAAAAGAAATACAATTATTATTTTTTGTTTACCAAATATTTTTTTTTGAAATCACTTTTTTAACTTAAAAAATAATTAATTAATTATTTTTTATATTTATAATTATCTGACACGCATTTCAAACCTTTTGTTACCAGTTCTTAATTGTTTTACGTATGTTTTTGACTTTAAATAATTATTGTCAGCCCAAGCATTTTGATGGATCTTCAAGGTCGCCTTTAAAAACAACTATATTTTATGTTTCAAAAAATAAACCAATTATTAATTAGTGATAAAAAATAGCGGAATAACAAGATCAATTAGACTATCAAAACAAACACTGTTGTCTATGTTCTTTCAAATATAATATATTTTTCAAACATATTCAATTTGACAAAAAAAAATAATTGTGAATATCGTTTCTTAAACAACGCGCCGAAAGTAAAGAACTATTACTCCAACTATCATCTTCGGGACAACATCGTTTTCGTTGTTGTTTGAAAACAGTAAAACCTTGGTACTTTTCAAAGTTGTTATTTGCTATCGATAAAATGGTATAATTACATCAATATTATAATTACTTTATAAAATCAAATGAAAATATTATCATAATAATACATTCAAAGTAAATGGTTTCATATTAATAAAAATAGTAAGGCTAAGTTTTAGTTATTCAAAAAATAGATTGAAGCAAAAACGGTATACCTTTGGGAGTCAATTTTGACAGCCCGAAATAGAACAAAATTTGAAAAAAATATAATTAGCGCAGTTCTGATTAGGACATTTTTCCCGATTTTGGTTTTAAGTTTTATGTAATTTTTGTTTGTTGAATAACAAAAAGAACGCTCTAGAGCTGCCACGTCATAACATTTTAAGGATAAATTGCGAGTGAAAAAAAACAGACCAATCAGATTCAATCTAGTCTATAGATAGTAACTATTATCAAAATTATTAAATTAAATATATTTTATTATTTGTTTAACAAGTTGTTTAAAAAAAATAAATTTATCAATCTATTAGAAACGTGTTTTATAGTTATAATGTGAAAGTCATTTATAACAATTGATCATATTGATAATCGTTTTATTCAAATATGATATTTAATTTGTGTTATCATTATAAGTTTTGAAATAGATTGTTTTTATCGTTGATGACATTGATCAAATGGTAATTTATGTGTGATGATATACGTAAAAAGTATCATTCAATAATTGATATCGTTTAAAGATATGTAAAGATAATTTAATAACTTATGTTAATAAAATAAAATTTCAATTATTTATAATGTTTTTATTATATTAATACGAGTGTTATTACACTATCATTATGTTTTAAACACGATTTTATACCTATTTGTTCAAGGTATCTATTGTTTTAAAGCGTCTTGTATAATTTGTTGTCACATCACTACAAAAATTTGTGGAATAATAACTTAAATTATAATAAATAATAATAAATACAACAATTTTTAATAAAAAAATTATAAAAAAACTTATTGTTTTAATGGTTTCAAAGACAGATTTAATAATTTTGATAATAGTTACTATCTATAGACTAGATTGAATCTGATTGGTCTGTTTTTTTTCACTCGCAATTTATCCTTAAAATGTTATGACGTGGCAGCTCTAGAGCGTTCTTTTTGTTATTCAACAAACAAAAATTACATAAAACTTAAAACCAAAATCGGGAAAAATGTCCTAATCAGAACTGCGCTAATTATATTTTTTTCAAATTTTGTTCTATTTCGGGCTGTCAAAATTGACTCCCAAAGGTATATTATGGTCAAATAATAAAAATACATAAAAAAATACACAAAAAATAAAACTGGTTAAGTGTTAACTATATTTATAAATAAGGAAAAATCAATTTAGTTTAATATAAAAAGAACTCAAAGCAGTTGGACAAAACACTTTCGTCCCTATTTTTGATAAACTACTTGGTAATATCAATTTTATTAATTTGTCACAGTTATCAAAACAATTGCATCCAACTTCATTAAGACTTCCTTTAACAACCAAAGATGTTAATGATTTACAATCGATAAACGCACGATTGCCAATGTAATGTTCACAATATGGAATTTCGATTGTTTTAAGAGATACACAACGCTCAAAACAGTTATCTCCTATCGACAAAATATGTGATGGAAATGTTACATGTTGTAAATTATAACAACAACGAAAACAATAAATTGGGAGTTTTGTTAATATATCAGAGAGTTTAATAGACGACAAACCTTTACAAAAATCGAAGCAATACTCCCCTATTTCTGTCACTAAATTAGGTATTTCAATTGTTCTAAGTGCTGAACATCTTTCAAAACAATTCTTTCCAATTACTTTCAAATTATGAGAGAGAGTTACTTCTGTTAATTTTAAACAATTTTTCATACAATAATTATTAATAAATGTGATATTTGTTGGTATTTGGATTGAACAGATGAGTGCGCCTCTAAAATAATATTCATCAATTATATTCACAAAAGTTGGTATTGTCTCGCCATATTTATTTCTATCTTTTATTGTGTATGTGATTTTTTTAAAAACTATTTTATCGTCTTTGTATATCAGAGAAGTATTGTACGTCACTTCAAACAGAGTGTCCAAAAAACGTCTAAGTCCCAAGTTAAGGAAAGGTCAAAAAAATTGTTTTGAAATAATTGATTTTTTTGGTTTAATTTATTTTTATGAATGAAAATCTATGATGGCTTGGTAAACAATTAATAAATATGTTATTTAAAACAATAAGATTTTACTTAAACAACTTAATTAACAAAAATAACACTGTTAAGTGTCGTTTTTGTGTGTATGAGTGCGTCAATTATATCGACCCTGTTTAAAAAGACTGGGTCGATTATATATATAAAGGCGAGTCGTCTTGCCTTCATATATACGTAACTAATGTTATTATTTAAAATCGATTCTTGGTATTTTGAAATGAGTAGAAACGAGACTCATTTTAACCTAGAAATTGAGTCTCGTTTGTTCAGAAAGTGTTCTTTTAATTTTTAAGATTATTATGTGTGTTTTACATTTTATTTTTATTCTTGTAGAGAACAGTAAAATAACGGGAAATTTGATAAATTACAAATCTGGTTTTAATGATAGTTCTAACTTTTCTCTTAAATTTTATCAATAAAATATTATATTTTTGATTTAATTGCTTAAATTTTTCGGGAAATTTCGTAAATGTGTTCATTTTTTACATGTTTTATTATTGTTTTTGTGGATTGAATAATGTGCTTGAAATTGCTAATGTTTTCAATTTTATAATCAAATAATTAATAGTGTTTAATTTAATTTTTCGGGAAAAAAATAAGAAAAATTTATGTTCAATTTGATTGTAAATTTGCGGGATAAATTATGGTTATTTTTGTCTCCTTTAAAATTCTATTATTTTTTGGTCAAATCGATCAAAAATCCAATTTTTTGTTATTTTTACTCCAAAATCCTTAACTTGGGACTTAAGTGCATTTTTTTGGACACTCTGCTTCAAACCAAATATTAATTCGATAAAAGTTGACTTTTTGGTGCGAAATAAAGTTCTTTTTGTCAAAAATATAATTCCCAAAACGTTCATCTTCTTTGGACCACAAGTTAAGGGTTTCAATGTGTGTAAAATATTTAATTGTCTTTTTATTAATTGGAATTGGATTAAATTGAAATTTCTCGATGTTATTTTTAAACTTTCTTTTTACCATTTCAAGTGTTATGAAGTCGTTTAAACACAAAAAGTATTGGGAAACTATCATCATGTGATACACATCGAGTCGACTCATTTCTTTAATTTAGTTTTTTAAAAATTTCATTTGAAAAACACATAATAAAATTATTTACAATTTCCTTAACGAGTCTTTTGTGATTGTTTTTCAAAATATAGTTTATTTAATTATAATCATTCTATATAAAATAGTTAATTATTAAAAACTATTTAAATAACATAACCACCACCACCTCTTAAAGTAGATTTATTTTTATTATTTCGAATTATACACAAATTAGAATTAGAAAAAATATTTAGTCTGACTCCCGAATTCAAGAAATGCCGAAAATTCACCTCGAGTCAGTGGAAACCGAGTGAGACGGAGCGTTGAAAAGAAGGCTCATAAAGACGCACTCAAACAGTCTGTTTGTGGACCGTTTCACACACTTTCCAAGTCCTCCCTTGGCGCGGATCCCCCTGACCCCCCCGCAAGCGGGGCGAACCACATCCGCGTCCACACAGTACGGACAAGGAAAGTGGGTGATATGGGGACGCACAAACAGTGGCTGAAAAGTGGACTCCCTTCAAAAAACACTCGCGGCAAATACTATATTTTTGTAAAGGTGGTGGTGAGTGGGAAAGGGCGGTCCCAAATAATTCACTTGTTTACGACAAATAGATGTCTTTGATTGTAAGTGGTGGTCAATATAGATTATATATTTAATAAAACTAAAAAAACTTAAATATTTACAAAACAAAAACAACTAAATAAGGTTGTAAAAGAAAACATTAATCTAAAGAAATTCTGTTAATACAATTTATAATTATAATAATTAATATTATAATAAATTATAGTAATAGAAATAGATTGAAGTTTTTGAAACAAACTTAAAAATAATATTTCATGGTTTGTTACTTACGATTATTAATATAACATTTAATAAACAGCCAAAACTTGAACCATATTACCTTATGATAGTTTTAAAATACTTTGATTCTTTAAAAACACTTAATATTTTCGCTCAAGTCTCTACAAAGACAAAACAATCAATTTCTGCAACTCAACTCAACCCAGCGTATTCTTTTGATTCTTTAGACACCTTTCTTGAGCAGTCGGAAACTTTGAAATTAATTAAAGAAATAAGTACATTTCAGAACTTGAAAACTCTTCAACTATCAAGCGCTTCTCTCGAACAACTCAAGACACAA